CATTTTGTTAAGGTGATTGGAAGCACCAGTACCATCCCAGATCTGAATTCATTGGGTCCTATGCTGTTAACATGCGGAGATCCTTTTGAGATGCTTTCTTTTGCAGGTGGCGGACTTGGGGGCACTCGTAGAGGTGGTGCAGATGTTAATATCAAACATTCAGGTCGTGATGATGCACCGCGATATGATGAGAGGTGAGAAACATAGTGGTGCAGTAACTGACCTACAAAGTGAACAGAATACCTTAAATTTTCTTAATGTGCCAACTTGGAGGCATTGTACTGGATTACACTTGTGATGTCCATTGGATATCACTTGCATTCAATGAGTTTGACATCCACTTGTAAATATGAACAGCTTTTCACTTGAGATTTAAATATTAGGAAATTCTGGTTTCTAGTTTTATATCATTAGACCCTATGTATGTGCAGTTTATTTGTAGCACTCATTACTCAGGTGTTTTACTTGGGTGCAAGATGTTTAATTTTTTATTCATTCATGCCATCTGGTGGTATAGACTTGCTATTTGTTGCCCATCTCTGGTTGCCTTTGAGAAGGTGGTGATCAGCTACCTTTATGAACTGTTGCAGTCCATTTGTTTTATGTAGACCCACAATGCTACCAGTGAGGGAGTTCCAGAATTTTGACCAACCCACACTGAAAGATCAGTGATACATATCCAAGTCAGGATAGTGTGTGGCTTGGAGAGGAATTTGCACTTGGTGGTTTCCCATATATCTGCTGCTAGATGGGCAAATTCAGATATAACGTGGTGCTTTTCTTTAATGCAAAAAGGTTGCATTTCACTGAGCTTTCTCATTACAAAAAACGCCCAGTGACAAAAATCTAATTTTGTAAAAGAATCAAAAGGGGAGTGGGATTAAAGCGACAATCGGGTCAGATATGATCTTGTTCTGTGGCTGATTTTACTCCCAGTTCTAAAATTTAATTATCTCCCCAGGGACCGGGATCGCGAGCGAGACAGGGATCGCCGTGAACGCAGTGAGCGTAGTCGTGAAAGAGACAAGGAACGTGAGCGACGTAGAAGCCGTTCCAGGGAGCGACGCCGGCCTCGATCACGTAGCCGTGACAAGGAAGAGAGGAAAGCGCGTGGCAGCCGTGAGCGAAGTAGGGAGAAAGATAAGGACAAGGATCGAGATCGCAAGCGGCGCAGCCGCAGTCGCGATCGTAAGAGAGAGCGAGACCGTGACAGGGATAAGGATAAGAAAGAAGAACGTACAGATGTAGACCAACCTGAGGCAGGTGACGGGCCTCACAATGATGCACAGGCAGTTGACATAGCCATTGAACCCATTGAGTCTAAACCTGAAGCAGAGGAGAAGAATAGAGAACGGGGAGATAGGGATAGAGAAAGGGACCGAGACAAAGACAGAGATAGAGACCGGGATCGGGACCGTAGACGAAGCCATCGAGACCGGGACAAGGATAGAGACCGGGACAGGAGGAGAGATAGGGAACGGGACCGTGATAGAGATCACAAGCGTGACAGAGACAGGGATAGAGATAGGGACAGAAATAAGGAATCTGACAAACTGCAGGATAATGGGATTCCTGAGCAACTTGAAGAAACCAGTCAGGACATGTATATGGATCAGGAGTCGATGCAGTCTGGTGATGGATTCATGTTGGCTGAAAATGGTTATCAAATGGAACCACCCACGGAAGGTTACTAAAAAGACCTGCGTTCAACGTGAACTTTTTCCAATTGGACCAATACTTTTCATTTTCCTGTTTTCTTGACAGAAATCGCAACCTTATTTTGTTTGTTGGTTTTAAGCTGTAGTGAAGGAGGTTTTCAGCACGAAGTACTCGTTGCTTTTTCTTGAGGAGGGTAAGTTTTAGTGACTGTATCATAGCAGGTGGTTTGGAATCCTTTTGAGCCTTGTGAAATTCGGTTGGTAAATGTTATTAATCTGTTTTTATTGTCTAATACACAATAAACCCTGTTTTAAAGCCATCCGATTCAACTGTGTACTCTTATGTACAGGTGTTCCTCAGTGAAGTGTTGGCTTGGGTGAACATTTGCCGCATTGTGCACCTGTGATTACATCAGGTACTCAGTTGCTTCTAGTGAGTATAAGATCCCTAATGAAGTGAAGGGCTCTCGTTGCTGTGTGCTGTAATAATTCTACATTGCAGTCTTTGAAGGTAATGGTCAGAGGGCAGAATTGGCAATTTTGTTGGAAAGATGTCTACATCAGCCTTTAAACAGTCTGATTAGAATTTAAAACAATAAACCTTTGTGTCACTGGTGCTTAATGTGTCTCTTTTTCTGTTCTTTTCTGTAATCTGTTGTATTTCAGAATTAATGCCTTGTCATTTCAATGTTTGTCTAGCTGAAGAACCTGTAATCTTAGTGGGTGTTTTTGCTGTTTTGTGGCTCTTCCTGGTCTAATTAAAGTAGGTTGAGCCACTTGTAAACAGAGAACAGTTAGTGTACATTTGAATCCTAACTGATTCTATTGGATTATATTAGAAATCATCCGAAGCATTTTAAATACGAATAAAATTTCTTGAGTGGAAACTGGTCACCAAAATCAGGCCGTTTTCTACAGTTTCCTGGGTTCAAAATTGGTTTCCTCAGTCAGATTCCTTTCAGTAGAGTTACTTTAAATTCTGGTGAGCACCTTGTGCACTTACTAATTTTTCAAACAATTTATGAAAATCTTAAACCTAGGGGCATTGACCATGGTACTATTGCTGTGAATGACCTAGACCAGTCAGGTCTCTGCACCTGTATATATCTAGACTTGTTTTGTATTTTACAGACAAGGAAAGGCTAGTTGGCATATGGAGCATGTCATAGTCATGTTATAATTAATATATTGTTAACCTGAAACTTTATCTCCAATCCAGCTGTCTGCTGTACAGTCTAGGAGGGGTACTTCATGGGCTTATGGAGTGAAATTGGGCGACTGCTTATTTCATTTTCTTCCACACTCAGTTAAAACTAATTCAGGCTGCCCTGGATGCACAGCACACCAATAATGCATGCACTGTTTGTGCACAATGATGCCTGACTCAGCCAGGAACTAGTCCAGATCATTTCTGTAGATTTGCAGCAAATATGACCACTGCACAATCTGGTAACATGTTCCAGAGGTTAGTAACCCTCTGCTAATAAAAAAAAAAGCACTTACTCAATTCTGCACTTGTGTTGCTTTTTTTTATTCATGAGCTTCAGTTTATCCTGCCACCTCCAATTCAAGTAGTTTATCTATCTGAATCCATTATTTTGAAAACCTCAGTCACATCTTCCTGAAGTCTACACTTTGGTCTTTTTACCTCTAGAATTCCGAATAGCTTCAGCTATTGTGATGATTGGCCTTTTAAACAAGATCTTCTTACAAGTTTTCATATCTATATCTCGCTTCAAACTTAACCAAGATTGTGATCAGAAGCATCACTTGGAATTGATTTCCTTCGTACTTCTAACCCACTTCAAGCCTCCCAAATATATATCCTTTCTCCTGTCTTGAGTGGCATTTGAAAACCTGATGCACACATGGATCTGTTTCTGTACTGTTCCCAAATAAGTACTAAGGAACATAAATAAGAGAATGGCCCTTTTAAAGTCTGCTCTGCCATTCAACAAGATCAAGTCTATCTTGTAATTGACCCCCTGTCATTTGATATGAGGTCCAGTCTTGAATGAGCAACTAAATATTGGATAGAGAAAAACCACAATTCCTAGCCAACCACTCCAGGCAATTCTGAGGGTTGAGTGTTTGCAGTCTAGGTGTCAACCTGACTTGAACTTTGCACCCTGTATCTACTCCGGTCACCAAGACTCCTGCCCTCCATTTTTGTAACATCCGATGATTCTGCTGATCTGTCTTCCATACCTTTATCTCTAGACTTTTCCCATTGTGGGTGTATTTCAAGGCTTAAATTGTAGTGATCACTTGGGATCTTTTACAGGTGGAGCACAGCTGTTGTAACTTGGTTGAAGATCTAATCAAGGATGCTATTACTGTCTCAGATCTTTCAACCCCACTTTGGAAGGCCCTGTTCTTGACCTTACCAATTTCTGTACTTTTGATCAGACCACTCATCATCAATGCTCATGCAAAATTCATTTCTGCATCTCAACTTGCTCAATGTCCTACCTTTTTACCTCTCCACTTTTATTTTTGCTGACCTACATTAATTCCTGTTTGAGTAAATATTCTCAAGCACGTTTGCAAATAAATCAACCTCCTGTCACACCTTCATGTTTTTCTTCCTAATCATTAACTCCAGTTCTGGCCTCCTGCATATCTCTGATATCCATTAGTGTTTGTTGTGTGTTTTTAGTGCTGACATCCCATTTTTACCCTAATCCTAATGTTATTAATCCTCTTCAAGTTTTTGGTTTTCTCCAGCTAGCTTCATCTGTCAAATCTTGTGCAGCATTACTACAGTAGAGGTGCAATATTGACCAAAGTTGTCCCTCTTTTATACATTAAGTTCCAGCGAAGCACTCAGTGCTTTTTATTATTCTTCCTGTAGCCTCACTACAGATCAAGTATCTTCAGCGACCTGTGTAGTGTTGACAACAGAATCCTTGTATAAAAAATGGTTGCTAGTACAATACTTGAGTATTGCTGAAAGAAAATACATTTTGTCAAAGCATTTAGACTTGCACACATCTGAACTATTAGCAAGAAGTACCAAAGTACTCATACCTACGTATAGGAGGGGAGTGCTGATTAGAAGATGGATTGGGCTAGAGGCCTCCTAAGAAGTGAGAAATACTTCGAATCCTGTATTTCGTATGTAATGCAGATCTGGCCGTACCCACACGCCAGTACCGTTCGATTTCATGCAGCGCCCAGTTCTGTCTATATAATTAATGTTTATACTCATCCAGGATTTAAATCCAGATTTTACTCAGACTGGCTCTGCTTGTGCCACGGGGGTGGGACAGAGAGTATCCGCCTACGTTTTTATGAGCCAGAGCGGCGTCCTTAACCATTAAGCTCCGAAGCAAAGGTAGTGCCTTACTTTTTTAAAGCACTGGATCTTTGAACCCGCAAGGGGCTAATATGGGGGGATGGTTGAACATGAAAGATGCCGCTGAACGCTAACAGCTTCCGGCCGCCTGGTCTCTTCGTTGCAAAGTGTTCGGTTCTGACTGGCGCGTATTTTGTATCCAACGTCGGAATTGCGTCGTTTCCAGGGAAACGCGACAAAACACCATAGAGTTGCCGACCGGGCTTGAGCGAATGAGGAGGAGGAAAGGTTCTTGTTTCGGGAATGTATTAGAAGAGCCATGGCCACAACCGAGAGAAGACACGATCTGCATTTAACAAGCTCAGGCGTCGGGCTGCATTACACCCCGGCCAGATACTTCCCACCCTCTGACTTCAAAGTAAGTGGCTCAAACTCCCAGCTACACTCATTAATAAAAGCTCTGCAACATGTATGTAAAAGAGGAAAGGACTTGGCTTGCCTGTTGATTACTCAATTATTTTGAGACTGGGCATAATATAAGGAGCTATATAGATTGCCAAGCCATTTAACCGTTTTCTAAGGGAAAATAAATTCACGTGCTAAGATTTCTGCTCAAAGTCCACTGCTTGTCTCTGACCATATTTTTGCTGTCACATGAACACAGTATGAATGTTGATTCCAGCTGTGGTTTCTTAAGTGGTATTTCTAATGCTAGGCTAAACTCCAAACATTAGCTGAAACCAGAGGCTGATCTCCTGGCTCAGAAAACCACCTATCTTGGATTAGTTGGGCTTCTAATCTCAACTCGCCCCATTTTAACTCCCAACCCTTAATTACACACTTAATCCCAGCATCTGAATCATAACCATCTTGATTTTGGAGATGGTAAACCAATTTGTGACTTCTGTCTGTCTAAACTCAGGAAAATAAACCACAATTCACATGGCTGCTCACTATTCCAATAACTGCTGCTGCATAATGTCTATGTCTTATGTTAGATTGGATTTGACCGCCAGGTATCATGGTGTAGAAAAGACTGTTACATTCAGAGTCAACACATGATGCATGGCCTTGAGGTCCTAGAAAACTGTTCATTCTGGTGAACTCTGTGCAAATTACTGGAGAGACAGTGTTGTAGTGGCAATGTTTACCAGACTAGCAATCAAGAGCTGCAGCCTAATGCCCTGGGTGTGAATTTGAATCACACTGATGTAATTTAAATTCAATAAATCTGGAATGAAATGATGACCATAAGTCATAAAAGCACATCTGCTTCACCAATGCCTTTGAGAGAAGAAAATCTGTCGATTGAGATCTGGTCTTCCCTAGTGACGTAACTGCCCTTGAAATATCTTGGCAAGCCATTCAGTTAATCTATTCATTTTGTGGGATGTGGGCGTCGCTGGCTGGCCAGCTTTTTTTGCCCATCCCTAGTTGTCCTTGAGAAGGTGGTAGTGAGCTGCCTGCTTGAATCGCTGCAATCCTCCTGCTGTGGGTTGACCCGCAATGCTGTTAGGGAGGGATTTCCAGAATTTTGACCCAGAGACAGTGAAGGAACGGTGATATATTTCCAAGTCAGGACGTTAAGTAACTTGGAGGGGAACTTGGAGGTGGTGATGTTCCCATATGTCTGATGCCCTTATCCTTCTAGATGGAAGTAGTCGTGGGTTTGGAAGGTGCTGTCTGAGGATCTTTGGTGAATTCATGGGCAACAAATGCAGGCCCAGCCAATGACACCCACAAACTGTGATAGAATAAGCAAAGATAGTTTGCCCATCGATCTTTAAAATTAAAGATCTCTATCTTTTAGACTATAGTTGAGCTGTGGATATTGATCTGAGCAAATAAGCAGAGAACACACAAACTCCCCTGAGGATAAGTTCAAATTCTACTATTCTTGGATGTGGGCATCACTGGCCAGGAAGGCCAGCATTTATGTCCGTTCCTTAATTGGCCTCACACCATGATAGCGAGCCGTTTATTTGAACCACAAACAATTGGCAAAAGAACAGATGGAGATGGAAAATTTTTCTCAATCTCCGCAGGCTACAATCTTAAATGTATTGCCAGAAAGGGAGGTGGATGCAGACAAAATAGTAACTTTCAAAGGTGAGTTGGATATATGTTTGAACTGGACTAGAAAACATGGCAGGGCTATGGACAAACAGTGATGGGGGAAGAGGGACTAATTGTTTAGATCTGTCAAAGAGCCAGAAAAGGCAAAAATGGCCTTCTGTGCTCGATGCGTTATGATGAAATTCCAAGGGTTTAAAAGGAGCTTGGAACTGCAGTTCAAATGTTTTAACCTGTAAGGCTATGAACCAGGGATTGGAAAGTGGGATTCGAACTGTTGGCTAGTTTATTTAGTTGACACAGACAATGATGAGCCAAGTGACGTTTTTCTGTGCTGTGCATTTTCTATGCTTCTATAAGTTTCATCTGAACCGTCGCCATTTAGCAAACAATCAACTTGCAGGACATCAGAGCAGAACCCAACCCCCCTCGTGCCAAGTACCTAGACAGTCATTAGTGGACACCCAAACTGATTTTCTACATTTCTAACTCAATGATATTAATGATGTGGAGATGCCAGTGTTGGACTGGGGTGGACAAAGTCAGAAATCTCATGACACAAGGTTATAGACCAATTGGTTTATTTAAAATCACAAGCTTTCGGAGCACTGCTCCTTTTTCAAGCGAAGTGGAGGGAGGCATACAGGAACAGAATATACAGGGGGAAAGATAATGGCAAGATGAGTGCAAATAGTGTGAGTGGAGTGTTGACAGGCTGAATAACAAATCTTTGCAGGTGATCAAAAGTGTCAAAACAGTGTGAGTAAAGTGTCAACAGCTGAATAAAAAGTGAAGGGTTGACCTATGAACTGATTAATTAAGGCAGAGAGATAATCACAAATAATCAAAAATAAGATGGTGCTAGAGACAAACCGAATGGCTGGAATAGCATGAGTTCGTTGGTTCCCTTGTTATTCAGCTCCACTCTCACTATTTGTATTTATCTGTTGACAGATGTTGCTGATTTTAAATAAATCTGTTGGACTAAACCTGGTGTTGTGAGACTTTTGACAAAGATATTAAGGATAACAGTCATGTTCCAGTGGGGATCTTGTCAGAGATCCAGTTCATCCCCGGAAAGATAGAAAGACAATCTTCATACGTTATTATTGCTTTGCTTTTTTCCAGTCATTTCTGAAAGATCCAGTCCCTCTGAAACTGAGGGAAAGAGACACTCTCCATCCCTATGATGAAGTTTTTAATAACTTTGAAACCACCACTGGCTCAACTCATAATCTCAAGACCATTGGAGGAGTACTTGGCCATCCACGCCACATAAAAGTTCCCAATCACTGGAATGTTCATTACATTACGGATTTGTCAGAAAAGGTGAGGCTAGCAAAGTAAGATTTTCAGTTGTTTCTTGTAACACCGTTTTACTTGGTGTTTACTGACATTTCCATGTGTTTATCAGGGTGATGATTAATGATGGCGCTTCACAATAGAGCATTTCTTGTTTTATTTTATACAGTACACCTCAATGCAATGTAGGCTAGACAATGGGGTAAAAGTGCCATTATACTGTTCCATAGAGTAGACATAGGGTAAAATTCTATCTACACTGTCCCATTAAACACTGCAAGGGCAGGTTAGACACATTACAGTTTCCTCTATATTATTCCATCAACATGTCCATGGGCAGATACGAAATACTGTTATGTATAATGTAAATCTTCCTTTACAGTGTTGCCATCAAACACCCCCAAGGCAGTAAAGCTCCTGCTGCAGTCCCATCCAATACTCCCAGGACAGAGACAGCATGGTGTTAGGTACATAGTAAAACCCAATCTACACTGAACCGATCAAATACTCACAGGACAGGGACACCATGGGGTTAAATACAAAATAAAAGTCCCTCTGCTCTTTTCAAACTGAGAGTAAAGTTCACTCAATACCATCCCCATCATACACTCCCAGACAGGGATAGCACAGGGTTAGGTACAGAGTAAAGCAACCTCAACTCCTTTGAAATGAAAGTAAAGCTCTTTGTACACTTTTAAATTGAAAGTAAAGCTGCCTCTACATGGTCCCCACCCAACACCCCCGGAACAGGGACAGTTGGGCTAGATACAGCACTGTCCCATCAAACATTCTTGAGGACAGCGACAGCGCAGGGTTTGATACAGAATAAAGCTACCTCCACACTGTTCCCATCAAACATTCCCATTCAGGGACAGCATGGAGTTAGAAACAGTCAGATTCTCTGTCATGCCTCAAACTCAACCTCAGACATATATCACCATCTGCAGTTCCAGTCCATGGATTTACTAGAATTGACTCAAGCAGATTCATTTCATGTTAGCCCTCACAAGCAGTTAGAAAGTTGAAACTTTCATCCCAGTAAATGAATCTCCAATGGAAAAAGAGATATTTGTACCTTCTCTACCTTGCAGCTGAGCAGGCGAGACTGGAGGACTCCTCTGAATATGGCTAACCAAACGAGTGAGATGAAGGACAAATACACTGGGAGGCTCCCGCAAACCCTGGAGACTGCATTTAAGGCTGGGCCTCAGCCATTCAATCTGGCCAACCATCACACAAATGGACCATCTAAAGTAAGGACCACAAAGCACATTAGACCTTGGGCAATGATAAATGGCTAATAGCATCAATATAATCTCATAAGTTGACCATGATCTGTGATACAAAAGGGACAACAAGCAGGCGGTAACATGAGCAACACATACATATATTTTATATATATACACACACACAAACAGAGGACTTTTTTTCGTTCATTCATGGGATGTGGGCATCACTGGCTAGGCCAGCATTTATTGCCCATTCCTAATTGTCCAGAGAGCAGTTAAGAGTCAACCATGTTGCTGTGGGTCTAGAGTCACGTGGAGACCAGACCAGGTAAGGATGGCAGTTTCCTTCCCTAAAGGACATTTGTGAACCAGAAGAGAATTTTCCAGACAATTGACAGTGGATTCATGGTAATCATTAGACTCTTAATTCAGATTTTTTTAAAAAATTGAATTCAGATCCCACCATCTGCCATGGCAGGATTTGAACCTAGGTCTCCAGAACATTATCTGGGTCTCTAGATTAAAAGTTCAGTAATAATACCACTAGGCCATTGCCTCCCTTAACTACATAGTGCTAAAGTCCCTGGACTAGTAATCCACAGGCTCAAATCGATGCTCTGAGGACATGGATTCAAATCTGCTCATTTAAATTCAATTAATAAATCTGGAATTGAAAACCAATCTCAGTAATGATGACCATGACAACTAATGACTCCAGATTTCTTAATTGCCCCTATGAATTGGCTTAGCAAGCCACTCAGTTCAAGACCAATTAGCGATGGACAATAAATGCTGCCCTTGCCAGTAATGCCCACAATCCCATGAAAAAGTAAACAAAGAGAATTGTAGATGCACAGATATATAAAGACACCCAGACATACCAAAGGTATAAAGACAGACATCCCTGCAAATGGAGACACAAGTCCTTATGCAGGGGATACACACACACACAGACACACACCCTCAATGAAAATGAGCACATACGTACACAAGCAAACTCAGAAATACACATCCAGAACATTGCACAGACATTGACATGGACCCAGGTGTCACCCAGGCATACGTACTACAGTGTCTCCATCAAGCTACTGTGTTGCAAAGGAATTTCTTCAAACATGTTGGACCTAAAAGCACCTTCCCAGCTCACTCTTCTGAGCCCCTTCTCTTGCAGTGCTCCCTAAGCTTGCTGTCCTGACTTTGGGATTAGGCTTGGGTTGAGTTAGACTTTGCATGCTTCATGGCTGCCTATGCATGTTACAAGATTTATCTCACGCATACTGTCACAGTATTGGGGAGCTCTGAGTGGCTGTAGCCGAGAATCGCAATGACCTCTAATACTTCTTGGTTTCACAGAATATCATCGCCAGTACAGAGAATCCAGCCCTGACCAGTAAGGAGTATTATGTACGAGACAAAGATGTTCTGCGTCTCAACGACATTTATTTAACCACGACTAACAAGGATTTCAGGGCCTTTAAGAAGTATGTTTATCCCTTGCGACATTTTCAACTTGTCAAATTTCATATTTCCACATGGAGATCTGATCTTGCCCCCATCATGTTTCAACAACAAATGCTTGTATTTAACTCGTGCGTCTAACACTCCAAGGCACTGCACAGGAGTATTAGGAACTAAACCTGACCCTGAGGCAAATGATTGATCCAAGAATGGAGGAGACAGTGCTAGACAGGTTTACTGAGAGATCGCTAGAACATAGAGAACTGAAGGAATGATGGAGTATTTGAAAGAACACAGCAGGCCAGGCAGCATCAGAGGAGCAGGAAAGCTGATGTTTCGGGTTAGGACCCTTCTTCAGAAATGAGGGAGGGGCAAGGGAGCTCTGAAATAAATAGTGGGGGGTGCTGGGGAAGGTAGGTGGGATGGCGATAGGTGAGTGTAGGTAGGCAGTGGTGGGGATTGGTCAGTGAGGCAGGAGGAACGGTCACGTCACCATGGAGTATTTGAAACTCGGCAGGTGGAATATAATATAGGGAAGTGTAAGGTTGTGCACTTCGGCAGGAAGAATAGAGGAGCTGAAAATTATTTAAATGGAGAAAGCTGCAGCACAAAGAGATTTGGGGGTTCTAGTCCATGAATCATAAAAAGCCAGCATCCAAATTCAGCAGGTAATAGGAAAGGCAAATGAATTGTTGGCTCTTATATTTCAAACGGAATAGGATTTAAAATGGGGTCGGATGTCTTACTAAAACTAGCCAAGGTACTATCAAATCACAGCTGGATTACTATGAATAATTTGGGTCCCTTTAACGAAGGAAAGATATACTGGTATTGGAGGTAATTCAGAGAGGGTTCACTAGGCTGATACTGGGTATGGTGGATTTTCCCAAGAGGTTGAATAGGTTAGGCCTGTTATTGGAGTTCGGAAGAAGCATACAAGATTCATTGAAGCATACAAGATTCTTGCATGGCTTGACAGGGTAGATGCTAAGAGACTGTTTTTCCTTGTGGGAGAATCTAGGACCAGAGGGTATAATCTCAGAGTAAGGGATCACCCATTTAAGACAGAGCTCAAGAGGAATTACTTCTCTCTGAAGGTTGTGAATCTGTGGAATGCTTTACCACACAAGCTGTCAAGGTTGGGTTGTTAAGAATATTTAAGATTCAGATAGACAAATTTCTAATCAGTAAGGGAATCGAGGGTTATGGGGGAAAGGCAGGAAAGTGGAGATGAGGATTTCCAGATTGGCCATGATCTCAAGAATTCCCTAAATCTCTCCTTGAAGATGCCCTTAAAGCATAAATCTCTTTCTGTGGTTTGGTGTCAAATTTTCTTTTTTAACACTCATGAGGCATTTCACTATGTTAAAGGTGCTGTACAAACTTACAGTTGCAACTGCTTTTTTATTAATGTCTCCCAACTGATTCCGTCAAGTTTGTCCTTAAATGCTTATTCCAGATTTGAAGGTTTTGCAGATTGTCTCCCAAGTTCTCTCCTAGTTCCCTGACCTTTGGGACTTGAACAATGTTTCTGTTTTCTTCCACCACCCACCCTCTTCCTTTCCAGGGAGGAGTTGGAAGGCTTTCCAAAGAAAGACGTAGCAACGTACTGGGAGATGGAAGACTATCCGAAGACCTGGGGCCACGGCCTGAAGGAGAATCCTCTGCCCAAAGACGCCCAGAGGATCATCCGTGGTCCTGGCCCGATGATTGACCCCAGTGTGTTCCGATCAGCCACCAGAATTCCTCCACTCCCCAGGCGTCTGCCGCCCGTCCCAAATCGGGGACTCAAGACACAATATCAGGATGTGTACCAGCAGCCCAATGATGTCAAGCGCAAACAGGACCTCTATTACCAACTGCAGGCCCCCTGGGTGGTGACCCGGGAGGGCTCAACCCCAGAGATCCTGTCTGTTCCTCACATGTACAAGACGGAATATATGTCGTACGGGAATGAGCGGCCCGTGATCATGTAAAAGGAAAATGTAGTGCCTCCTCTTCCAAAAAAAAAAGAAAATTCAGCCCTGAGTGATTAGTTCAGATTTTGCAATGGAGATTATTTTGGAAACCTGCATCTGAAACATAGAATCATATATCACAGAAGGTGGCCATTCAGCCTCCCATCCCTGTACTAGCTCTCTGAAAGAGCTATCCAATTAGTTCCACTCTCCTGCTTTTCCCCTTTTCTTAACAAAAACCCTTTTAAAATTATTTATTCAATTCCTTTTTGAAAATTACTATTGACTCTGCCTCACTGCCCTCTCAAGCAGGCAGCATGTTACAGATCACAAGCACTTGCTGCGTGGATAATTTCTCATTTACCGAACCTCAACCAACAAGAAATTTTTCTCCATGAATCCGGTCTTTTCTGATTACTGATCCTCTTGCTAATGAAAATAGTTTTTCCTCATTGATCAAACCCCTTCATAATGTTGAAGAACTTTATTCAGTTGCAACCAATTCCCTTCCCTTCCTGAATCAGAGTTGACAATTCCTAATGGTATCCCTCTCGTGTGATAGATTCTTGTCAGTTTCCTCAGAAACCCCTTCCATATAAGTCATTCTGTGCCAGCCATTTTAGTTATACTGCCACATAGCAATACATGAAGATTGAGACATAAATAACTGAAATATTTATAAACATTACTTTTTCAAATACATTTCTGTGGGTTTTCATTTTAAGTGATCAAACTTTCAGTAGGAACATGGCAACACAGGGAATAGAGCAGGAGGAGTAAGCCATTTGGCCCATCGCCAGTTATCCACCATTTGACTAGATCATGGTTGATCATTTGTCTCAAAGCCATATTCATGCACAGTCTCTATATCCATCAATATCTATCAGCCTCGACCCTTATACTTAATGACTGTACCTCCACAGCAGTGTGCCCACAAATTATTGATCAACAGCACTGCATTGGGAGGACAGAAAACAGATCAGAAATGATTCATTAAACTGAGAAGATGAGATGTTTACAGTGTGATTTATTTATTTTACCTTTGGAATTAGGTAGCCAGGCTGCATGTAGTTATCAATCCTGTCTTCTGCTGCTCTTTGTGTGTTCTGAATGTGCAGGCAGTGTTGGCTCTGCTATGATGGAGAAAAGTATCAAAGCCAATTTGTGCACAGTTAGTTCCTGCGAATAGAATGGTGATAATGGCCTTAAACATTCTCTCCTTAATCCACCCGTGCACAGTGGCAGCCATTATGCCATCTGCAAGACCCCACTGCAGCAAATCACCGAGGCTCTTTTGAAGGCACCTTTCAAACCTGTGACCTCTACCATCTGGGAGTGGCATGGGAACACCGGTGCCTGCAAGTCCCCACTCCATACACCATCTTGATTTCTAATTATATTGCCCTTGCTTCAAATGTCTGTGTCAAAATTCTGGAATAACCCCTCGACAGTCCAGGGGGTTGCAGTTCAAGAAGGCAGCAGCTCGCTGCCACCTTCTCCAGAGAATCCCACGCCAGATAATAAAAATGCTGGCCTTGCCAGCAAAGCCCAAATACCAACAAAGAATGGAAAAAGAAAATACAATCTATTTTAGGGCTACTGCTTGAAAGAGAAATACTGACTGGGACAGATAAGTTGATTACAGAGTAGCAACAAATCCTTTGGCAATGGCTTCGTACTTCTTGGGCTGTAAGTTCCATTTATTTTGCAGAAATGATGTAAGCAGCAATCATGGACACTCTTATGTTTACCTGGACTCATTTCACCTCTTGATTTCCACTGTTAGATGTAGGGAACAGGGACAGCCATTAATGAAGTTTATTCAACCCCTCTCTAATACAGTTTTACACAACTGTATTCACACCAGTCATAAAGTCATCGAGTCATACAGCACAGAAACAGACCTTTTGGTCCAACCAGTCCACACCGACCATGTTCCCAAACTAAACTAGTCCCACCTGCCTGCACTTGGCCCATATCCATCCAAACCTTTCCTATTCGTGTACTTATCCAAATGTCTTTTAAATGTTGTAACTGTATCCGCATCCACCATTTCCTTTGGAAGTTCATTCCACACACAAACTATGATGTCCATGTAAAAAATTTGCCCCTCGTCTTTTTTAAATCTTTCTCTTATCACCTTAAAATTCTTGAAATCCCCCTCCCTAGGGAAAAGACATCTGCCATTCACTTTATTTATACACCTCATGATTTTGTAAACGTCTATCCAGCCTTCCTTTGGTGTGGCAAACAGATCTGCACACAGTACTCCAGTTGTGGAAATGTTATATACAGCTCCATCATAACTCCCTGCTCTTGCAGGCAGTGCTTTGACTAATAAAGGTAAATATCCCATATGCCTTCTTAATCACCACATCTCCCTGTCCTACTGCCTTCAAGGATCTGTGGACATGCACATCAAGCTCCCTCTGATCCTTTGTATATCCTAGGATCTTACCATCCAATCCCAATTGAATTGAATTAGGTTTATTGTCACATGTACTCACAAGTAGAGTGAAAGTTTACAAGTTGCCACTTATGGTGCCATCTTCGCTACTAAGGTTCTTAGGTACAAAGAAAAAAAGTAAGGAAAACAAAGTTAGAAAGTTAAACATTATAGTCTTTCATACTAAAAAGTGGAAAATGTATTCCCTTGCCTTGTTAGTCCTCCCAAAATGCATCACCTTATAATTTTCAGGATTAAACTCTTTTTGCCATGGTTCTGACCAGCTTGTCTATATTGTCCTGTCGTCTGAAGGTTTCTTCCTTGCTATTTACCACACCATCCATTTTCATGTCATCTAGGAACTTACTGGTCAAACCTCCTATATTCATGTCTAGGTCATTAATGTCCACAACAAACATCATGGGACCCAGCACCAAGTCCTGTGGTGCATCAATGGACAAAATCTTCAATCACAAAAACTGTCATCCTTTTCCTCCTGCCAAAAAACCAGACAGATAATCAATTTTAAAAAGAAAGTACTTCACAAAAAACCTTATTTATTGCAGCCAATGATTGCTGTCTCTCACTGGTAACAAATCAAAGCACAATTATGTTTTGCTCACTGACCAGGGGTCTGTTTCAATATGGTGATAAAAAGCAGCAAGCCCCACACTATTATAAAACATGGCTGCAAATTATGACTCAGGAAAGGTCATTGTATCGTTTACTACCTCAATGGAAACCCTACGAGATTGTAAATCCTGGTCTGAGCTCTCTGAATCCATGGTAATACTCTCAACACTACGTTTCCAAATTGAAATGTAAAGGGTAATGTACTCTGTCTTACACCATTCTACATATGTATCTAACCCTGTGCTGTCCCCGTCCTGAGAGTATTTAATGAGGGAGAGTGTAGACGGAGCTTTACTCTGCATCTAACCCCATGCTATGCCTCTCGTGGAAGAGTTTGATGGGGACAGCGTGGAAGGAGCTTTACTCTGCATCTAACCCGGTGCTATCTCTCTCCCGGGAATGTTAGAGGGGGACAGTGTAGAGGGAGCTTTACTCTGTATTTAACCCCATGCTGTCCCTATCCAAGGAGTATTTGATGGGCAGTGTAGAGGGAGCTTTACCCTGTATCTCGCCTGTACCACAATATTGTCTGATATACGCCATACCCCTCAATCTCACTTTCTCTGAGATTTCCTGGATTGAGCTGTGGACTAAAGCAGTTGATATTTGAATACCTGGTCTATAAATTTGATTTCTCAACATGAGTGGGTTGAGTTTGCACCTTAAACACGAACAGCAGTTTTCACTTTGGATTCCTTTCCTTACACAGGAGAGATCAAAGTTATTAATAGACAGTCTCAAGGATGCTACAAAAGAAATCATTGGGTGTGGAAATTCTCCTGATCCAGGCAGCTTTTCAGTAAATCTATCACTGAACGAGTCACTTTAATTGTCTAGCCTTGCAGGAAATAGGGCATCTCATAGATTAGCAAAACTAGACAGTTTAATTGCAATAATGGTGCTAGATTAAAGTTAGAGACTGAACATTTTAGCTGCTTGTCTTTATTATTGAAATTTAACTTCAGCAATAATTTGGACTCTAGTTAACCCTTAACTGATCATGTGACCAGTGGAGTTTTGTAGCTAGAAACCTGCAGTACCACCACATGCAGACATGTGCAGGAAGGGACTTGAGTGTGTATTATACAAAGTTCCTGTAGAGAATGCAATATGATTCCAAGAACGATTATCATCCATTGTTTGTATCTGTACTTATTTTGTAAAACCCACCTGGTTCATTAGTGCTCTTTATTAGAAGAAAATCTGACTTCCTTAACAAATCTGACCTGAGAGTGAGTAATAGTCGGAACTGCAGATGCTGGAGAATCACAGACAATAAGGTGCAGAGCTGGATGAACACAGCAGGCCAAGCAGCATCATAGGGGCAGGAAGGCTGACGTTTCGGGCCTAGACCCTTCTTCAGAAATGGGGGAGGGGAAGGGGGTTCTGAAATAAATAGGGAGAGAGGGGGAGGCGGATAGAAGATGGATAGAGGAGAGGATAGGTGGAGAGGAGACAGACAGATCGAAGAGGTGGGGATGGAGCCAGTAAAGGTGAGTGTAGGTGGGGAGTTAGGGAGGGGATAGGTCAGTCCAGGGAGGACAGACAGGTCAAGGGGGCGGGATGAGGTTAGTAGGTAGGAGATGGGGGTGTGGCTTGAGGTGGGAGGAGGGGATAGGTGGGAGGAAGAACAGATTAGGGAGGCGGGGATGAGCTGGGCTGGTTTTAGGATGTGGTAGCGAGAGGGGAGATTTTGAAGCTTGTGAAATCCACATTGATACCATTGGGCTGCAGGGTTCCCAAGCGGAATATGTGTTGCTGTTCCTGCAACCTTCGGGTGGCATCGTTGTGGCACTGCTGGAGGCCCAGGAAGGACATGTCGTCTGAGGAGTGGGAGGGGGAGTTGAAATGGTTCGCGACTGGGAGGTGCAGTTGTTTATTGCGAACCAAGCGTAGGTGTTCTGCAAAGCGGTCCCCGAGCCTCCGCTTGGTTTCCACGATGTAGAGGAAGCCACAACGGGTACAGCGGATGCAGTATACCACATTGGCAGATGTGCAGGTGAACATCTGCTT